ACTGTCATCCCTTCTCCATTTCTTCACCCTGTTGGGATTTTTGGGCATGCATGCACATGCACCAAACATTGTTTTCAAGCCACCAGGGCTGGGATTCAAACCACATGGTCGGTTATGAGGTCCAGCTCCCTTTAACCACTAGGCCATGAGGCTGGCTCCTACATGCATAATGTTTTGTTTGTTTTGTTTTGTTTTTACATGCAGTGTTTTGTATGAAGCATTCTAAAGTGGAAAAACAGGGATAGCAAGTGGCATGGTGGTTAAGGTGCTGGACTCCCACATGGCCGAGAGGTTTGAGTCCCAGACCTGGCAGCTTGCTTTCTCACTTCCCCCTCTCTCTCTGGTCAAACTGAAAAATAATAATAATAAATAAAATTAAATAAAAAATTCTTTAAAACTTAAAACAAAACAAAACAAAACAAAACAAAAAAAAACAAGGGGTATAACTTGCTTAATACATGTTGGTTAAAAAAAAACAAGCCTACTGACACACTGTCCCTCAGGGCCAACTGGTGGCATGGTGGTAATACAAAGCTCTGCAATGCTGGGACCACATGGGAAGGTCCCAGGTTTGTGTCCTGAGCTCTCCCTGTCAGGTGTGCATGCACAAGCCTGTGATCCAGGCTGGCCGAGGAGACAAGGATGGATCACGGCATGAGGACTGTAATGGGAAGCTGGGTATGGTGGCACATGCCTGTAATTCTAACTACTCGGGAGACTATGGCAGCAGGGTCACAAGTTTGAGGATTGTTTGGGCAAGCTACTGAGACCCTGTCCGTCAAAAAGGGGTGGGGGATGGTCCTGTAGCACAGTGATAAAACACTGCACTGGAAGGCAGATCCCATGTGGACGAAATGTGCGTATCCTGACAGGGTGGAGAGATGGAGGAAAGGGATTGGGGGACACTTGCATGTGCATGGTCTCTTTTTGATTCACACATACATCCTATGGCAATAAAATAAACAGACGCTGCTGGGGTGTCCCCCCCGAGGAAACAATAGTTTAAAAAACCCAGTAGGATATACACTACAGCTGTAGATGACTGGCGGGTATTCAACGCGAAGAGTTTCACCCTGCGTTTTTCCTATTTCTGTACTGCTCACATTTGTTATAATGAGCACATAACTTACTTACATGTTTAAGTTAAAAATAATTCTTTCGGGGGGTTGGCAAGTGGTGTAGTGGTTTAAGGCACTGAACTCCCACAAGGCCGACTGTGGTGTAAGTCCCGGACCTGGACACTTGTTTTCTCACTTTCCCTCTCTGGCCAAATTTAAATAAATAAAGTTAAATAAAATAATTCTAAAAAAATAGTTGTGGGGACCAGTAGGTGGCATGGTGATTAAGGTGCTGGACCCTCCCACATGGTCAACCATGGTTCGAATCCCAGACTTGGTGGGTTCCTTTCTCACTTTCTCTCTCTTTCTCCCTCTCTCTGTGTCTCGCTCTGGTCAAATTAAAATAAAACAGAATGAATGAATAGATACAATTAAATAAATAATTCTTTTTTAAAAATTTCTTTCGGGGGAGGCCAGATGGGGTGCAACGGTAACACAGCATTCTGTGAGGCTGGTCCACACAAGATTTCAGCCCCGGCCCATTCTGGGCCCTGTTCTGACACAAACCCTGGCTAAACCTTGATTCAAGAATCTTGTTGCCATCGGATTCCATCCAACGAAGGACTGTTTCCCACTGCCCTGCATGTGACAGGTCTTCCCCTGGAAAAGCCAGAGACAGCACAGCACATCTACTTTGACTGTGTTCATCCAGAGCCCGTGCCTCTCAAAAGAAGTCTGGCCAAGTTCAATACCACCAGAGTCAGCTGGCATCCTCGGGGCAGGGACTAAGCTGAGGCAAGTGAGCTGTGTCATCAGCCACGTGACTGACTCTGGCTTCTGGCCAACACATCGCCCTGTCAGAAACAAAGCCAGACAAACCCCTTTCGACTTCGTTATATGGAATCCAGTGGAGGTTCCTCTCCCTACTTGTGCGTGTCCCTCCCACTCAGAGATAAGGAGAAACAGGCCTGTGCCGTATAATCAGAAGTAAACTTAACAGCATGAGTGACGCTCAGTGGGTCAGACTACAATTCAATTATTAAGCACCAAACGTAAAGTCTGTCTTCTTTTTGTTTAGGAGCCAAGTGTTGCCATTTACCTCGTGTACAAGAGTGAAATGCACAGGAAATGGCCCAGGAAAATTTACACTGTGACAAAGTATCTGATGTGAAAAGGATCTAGGATATTGATCAAAACCCCTCTTTAAAGGGAGGGAGACTGAAGACAGCCCGACAAGCTAATTGACTTGCCCAAACTAACACCCTGGGCTCGTGGCAGAGCCTGGACTAAGAGGCAGGTTACCCAGCCACAGGCAACCCCGAGATAGGAGCAGCGTGAGGAAAAGTGAGGAAAGTGTGTAAGTGTCCTGGTAAGCAGACCAGGTCACGGTGGAGAACCTGCTTACCTGTTTGGATCCCTGTCTCTTGCTCTAACTGCTGGTACAGTTTGTTTGAATAGTCTGCCATCTTCTGCTCGATGGTCAGGTGCCTGGCGGTGCTCAGGATGCCAGCACAGAACCTTGTAGAGCCAGCCGCCAGCCTGCAGGGTGCATGCACAACGCCATTAGGCAGACTCACACAACTGTGAGCACAAGTTCAAGGCTCCCCTTTACAGTACCAATTGTAAGATCAAAAGATGGAAACAGTCAGTCCGTGGCCTGACAGTTAAGGTGGCTGGATCCCACAGGACCAACCAAACAGCTGGAGTCCTGGATCAGGCAGCTTGAAAAACATACTGGGTGTGCATGCATGTGTGCCCGGAATCCCGGGAAAAAAAGAAGCGGGAAGTGGAAGAGAAGGGATTGTGGTGTGACCGTGCCCTACAGGTGTACTTTCTTGTTTTCTCTCTTTCAGGTGAGCACATGCTCTCTCTGGTAGGGGAAAAAAAAAGAGATATAAACAACCGGGGCCAGCAGGTGGCATGGAGGTCAAGGTGGCCAAATTCTATATAGCCAACCGCACAGTTCGAATTCCAGACCTGGTAGCTTAAAAATCACACCAGGTGCCCCAAACCCCAAGAGACTAGAGGATAAGGGACTGTGGTGTGGCTACCTCCGCCCACTCCCTGCACCGATTTCTCACTTTCCTTTTCTCTTGTCTCTCCAGCAAATACACATGCCCTATACAGAAAACTAAAAGAAGAAAAAAAAAAAAAGAGAGACAGCAGATGGCATAATGTTTATGCACTGTACTCGCACATGGCTGACCAGTTTTGATTCCAGCCCTAGTGGCCTGAAACATGCCAGGTGTGTGTGTGCATGCCCAAGACCCCGAGGGAAGAATGGAGGAAAAGTGGTTGCAGTGTGGTCATCCCCTCCGGAGGAGGTGATTTCTCACTGTCTGTCTCTCTCTGGTGAGCATACAGCAGGCCCTTAAAGCAAAAACCTCTCTCAAAACAAACAAACAAAAAACAAAAAACAAAAACAAAACAAAAACACACACTCTAAATGTCCATCGACATGGGACTGATTTATAAAATTATGGAATCCACCTACACACTGGAATAGCGTGTAGCTATTAAAAACAATAAGAAAACTTGGGACCAGCAGTTGTGTAATGGCTATGTCACTGGGCTTGCATGTAGTTGACCACAGTTCAAGTCCTGGACCTGGTGGCTTAAACTCACGCCAGGCGCATGTGCACCCCAGATCCCAAGAGGAGAATGGAGGAGAAGGGATTGTAGTGTGGCCATCCTCCCTGGGGGGGGGGTGATTTCTTGCTTTTTGACTCTCTGTCTCTCTCTTTCTGGCAGGCGCTAGCACCCTATAGCAAAAATCTCTCTGGAAAAAAATAATAAATAGGAAAACTTAACATACCAATATGGAACAATTATAATAAAAAAATTATGAGAAACATATTCAAAATATGCTACCATTTGTAGAAAAAGTGAACACGTATACACATGTATACACACCTTTCAGGACATGTCTGCTTATGCACTGTAGGCAACGTATCTGAAACTCAGTTTGCCTCCAGAAGGGAACCTGAAGCTAGAGGTCAAGGACAGGAAGGAGACACTTCCCTGTACACACTTCATATCTTCAATTCTGAATCACAGAAATCTATTACTAATCAAAGTAAAATTTAAATAGAAAACATGTCCTCCCATTTGTGGTAGATAACAGAGCACAGAAAGCTACAGTAGCACCAAGCTTTACAAAGGACCCAGCTGTCCAGAAACCAAGTGTTACAAGTACGTCATTTCCCCCCAACTGCGCAGCACTCAGTAAACGACCACCTGCATTATCTATCCTGTCACTTGAGGTTACTCAATTTACTTTATTTTAAACATTTATTGAGGCTGGCAGGTGGTGTGGTGGTTAGGGTGCTGGATTCCCACATGGCTGACTGTGGTTTGCGTCCCAGGTTGGTAGTTTGCTTTCTTACTTTCCCTATTTTTCCTTTTTTTTGAGAGGTTTTTGCTATTGGGCGTGTGTGCTTGCCAGAGAGACAGACAGACAGAAAGCAAGAAATCACCTCCAGGGGCATGGCTATGCCACAATCCCTTCTCCTCCATTCATGTCTCAGGCATGCACGCACATGCACCCGGCCTGAGTTTGAAGCCGCTGGGTCCAGGACTTGAATCGTGGCTCACCACATGGGAGTCCAGCGACATGTTCCCAGTAATTCTTTCTTTCTTTTTTAAACAAGCATTTATTTATTTATTTATCTATTTGTTGTGATTTTTGAGCCGCTGGGTCTGTGACTTGAACCATGGTTGGCCATATGGGAGTCCAGCCCCTCAACCACCATACTACCTGTCACTGCACCCCCATAATTCTTTTTTAAAAAATTATTATACCAGGGTCTCCGAAAAGTTCATGGAAAATGTGTATTATGCTCAAACCATGCATGGATTTAAAATTTTTCTTGAACCAATTGCCATTTTCCCACAAACTTTTTTATTCCCCCCACAAACCTTTTGAAGACTCCTCATAATTCCATCAGATTTTCAGCTCCCTAAAGATAGATCTTCTCTCCTCTTTGTGACTGATGCATAGCCCGCCTGGGACTTAACCCCTAGTCCCATCAGCTCTGGCTGATGGACAGCGCCTGCAGCTTGGTAACATCTCTGCGGGACGGCACACCTGGAGATGCTGTCATGGTGGCTCTCCCCCCTGCGCACACACTGGGGTCCCTGGGAAGCTTTACAAGTGCTGATTCTGGCCTTACTCCTAGAGATGCTGGTTTCTTCTAGAAGAAGCCTGGGCTCTGGTATTTGCTAAACGCTCTCCAGGTGATTCTAAAGTACATACGGAATTGAGAACCACTCATCTATGACAGGGACAAGAGTGGACATGGAGAAAAGGGACAGTGACTGCTAAAGGGAAGTGCTAAACCATTTCACAAGCCATGGTGGATATATAATTATTTTAGTCAGGCTAAAGTATTTTAAGATCTTGAAGCAACAAATTAAACCAAAAAAATGAACCTCTGTAGGGTCTTCCACTTAGAAATATGCATACTGGAGACCAGCGGATGGATGGCACAATGGTTACCTCACTGGACTCCCACATAGTCGAACACAGTTTGAGTCCCAAACCCAGCGGCTTAAAACTTATGATGAATGCGTGTAAATGTGTGCTCAAAATCCCAAGAAAATGAAGGAAAAGGGATTGCGGTGTGGTCATGTCCCCAAGAGGTGATTTCTCATTTTCTGTCTCCTGCGAGCACAAGCACACTATAGCAAATATTTCTCTTAAAAAAAAAGAAAAAAGAAATATTGGGACCAGCAGTTAGCGTAATGGCTATGTCACTGGACTCCGTGGTTCAAGTCCTGGACCCGGTGGCTTGGATTCACGCCAGGTGTGTGTGCGTGCGTGCCCAAGATCCTGAGAGGAGAAAGGAGGAGAAGGGATTGTGGTATGGCCATCCCCCCTGGGGGGTGATCTCTCGCTTTCTGTCTCTCTGTCTTTCTGGCAAGCGCACGCGCCCTATAGCAAAAAAAAGAGAAATATTTATACGGAAATGAATTTATAGTCATCTGAGATAGAGTATTCCTGATTACTAAAAAGGATTTAAAAAAAAAAAGAGACTTTGACATCAAGGAAACAATATAAAAATATACTCTCAACTCATAATCTTATAGACATCTTCTCCAGCACTGATAATCCACTCACAAGTGACAGTTCTATTTCTAGGCCCAAGAGGCAAGAAAACTGTTACTAAAAAATAGAAAGTAGGAAAAGTCAAAGATCAAAGAATAAGAGTAATTTTTGTTTGTTTGTTTTTTAGGAATTATTTATTTTATTTTATTTATTCATTCAATCATTTTCATTTGACCAGAGAAAGATAGACACACATAGAGAAGAAAAGTGAGAAAGCAAGCCACTAGGTCTGGGATTCAAACCATGGTCAGCTATGCGGGAGCGTCCAGAACCTTAACCACCAAGCCACCTGATGGCCCAGGAGTCATTTTTTTTTTTTTTTTTTTTTTTTTTTTTTTTTTGA